GTCGTGAGTCTCAAGGGGCTTGTAGCCAAGACGAAGTGATTGGCGCTAAACTGACACTCGTAAATAACTTTGACTCTGACTCCGGCTTTGGTCATCCAGTCATTCAGTCGTAAGAGAATTCAGAAGGCAGTTCAATAGTTCAGTTCAGTATTTCAGTTGAGTTCTCAGCTGTGGAGTGTTAACCAGCGGACAACGGAAGCTGAAGAAGTGACTGGTTCGTAAATCAAAAATGGTCAGTCACAGTGGAACAGAAGACACTCGTAGTCGAGTAAGGAATGAAGCGAGTTTTAGGCACTCACTGATTATCAGCTATTATAATTAATTGTAACTGTAATAGAAGTGCCAACAAATCTGGACATCCAAACCAGAACCCACTATTATTAGTCACGGAATCCAGGACACTATACATTGTTAATTAACGTGAGAATTAATCTGCCACATCTCATTCGGTATTACGTAACATGCAGGCAGGCAGGCATGCAGGGCCAATTCTTCGGCCTCCCGGTGAGGAAGCAGATGTCAAGGTCTTTCCACTCACTGTTTTTCACGCGATTTCGTTTAATTTCCTCTGTTTTGGTCATGATCTGAACAGTTCCTTGTCAGAGAAAAATATCTTTTTTTTTTTTTGCAAAGCTTTTACTTCTGTTCTTTGGCGTGTAGTATGCTAGGTGTAAGTAGTGAGACTTGAGGCCGCTCCATAGCTCAAGCGGTTAGTCGCTGGCTTCCCACCGCGGCGGCCCGGGTTCGATCCCGGGATTGGTCAAGTGGGATTTGTGGTAGACAAAGTGGCACTGGGGCATATTTTCTCCCAGTACTTCGGTTTCCCCTGCCAATCTTCATTCCACCAATTGCTCCACAATCACCCTCACCTATCATCTGGGGCTGGTACAGTAGGCCAGAAGTGGCCGCAGTACAAGGGACTTAGTCCCACCCCACTAGCAACAAAAAAAGTAGTGAGGCTTTCTATCCAATGCTTGTTACTTTTGGCTTCTTGTAATTAAAAATATGCTAAATTAAACAAAAGCACCGTATATAGGAACTTTATTAATAATGCACTGTGTTTCGCTTGCTGTGACTGTACTGCTGTTTTCAAAGATTATAACATGACTAGGCATTTCAGATCGAAGCAAATGTAAAAGCACAAAAAGCGTTGAAGTTCTGAGAAGAGAAAAGGTGAGAGGTTTAGAAAAGGGGATCGAGTCACAAAGAGAATGTCTTCAGGAAACAATTCAGTGAGAGTTCCTCTGCATTTCGGACAAGTTGCCATGTCGCTGTGCTGTTGGCTAAAAGAAACAAATATTTTCTCTTCGTAGAATTTGTGAGGAAACATTTGCATCAAAAGCGCAAAAGATCTTCCTGGAAAAAGGAACTGTTTTCTTTCAAGACCATAAATTTGCCTTATGCAAAAATAATACATCGATTTTAAGATAGAAGTTGTGAGTTAAGAGAGTTTAATAAACTCAGCAACAGAGTGAAGGAACTTCATTTTATTTAGCGATAAAAAAGTAAAAAGAGTGAAGCTTTCCCTGTAACAGGCCGTGAAGGCCCATGGGGCTGTGAGACGTTGAGGGTTCCACAGTATCTAGACAATCGGCTCAAAGATGGCGGTAAGGTTGTCAGCCTTACGCGCTGGCCGCGCTTTACTCCCCAGGAAAATTATTTAATCAATTCTTGGTACTCATTTCTGTTAGAGGCTGAGTCGACCCCAGGGCCATAGTGAGGCTGAAAGGATTAGGTCAATGGAAAAGATCCAATGACCTCATCGAGACTTGAACCCGCGACCTTCAGACTTGTAGCATTTTTATTTAGCGATAGGTGAGAATAATGGCACATGAGATACTGCTAAGCTGTGAGCCATGACAGAATCTTCCAACATGACGGACGAGTTAGGTTTTATTACAATCTGACATGGCACTACAGCAAGGGAACATTTGCTTTTGAGTGTGTGTAAAATCACGAAGGAACTTGAGCTGCGCTGGAAGAAATGAAGAAGAGTGAAAACAGACGGGGCTCCAGGTATAATAGAAAAAAAAAGTAAGTTCGATGGGTAGAAATGGGCTTGAAATGGGTAAAAAAAAATCCGATTTTTTTCATGGAATTTCACTGGGTCGTCCGCCAATAATTACTTTAGAAAAAGCTTTGAAATATGAAATGTTATGAAAGTTCATTTGGTTCCTTGGATTTAATCATCTGCAGCTTCAATTTATTCTGTCGAAAATTGATTTTTGATATGGGTTGGCACCTCTTTTACCATACAAAATCTGATGATTGGATCGTGGAACAGTGTCGAAAATTTTTCTAGCTTCAAGGATAGAAGTATAAATATTCCTGAATGAGATAGGTAAAGTCGTTGCGCCTGAAAGTAGTGACGGAAGGGGGACTTGACATTGCTGTGTGATATTGCTCATCTTGCAGATGAAGTAGATGCCAATGTTGAAGATCAACAGCAGTGCATTTCTGTCATGTTTGTGTCTGTCAGAGCTTTCTAAATGAAGCTGAAACTATTTAGAAGTGTCAGAAAATGTTAACCTCTCATTTTATTTACTGAGATTTGTTTCAAAAGAATAGATAAATAAATGTATTTTCCACAGTGTCCGTGCTACCGAAATTACTGATTTCTTACCTGAGAGTGTTAAGAGAAATATAAACGACTAAGTATCCTTGAGATGACATTCTCCGTTGGAGTCAATGACGCTTCAGACCGCGCCATAGCTCAAGCGGTTAGTCTGTGGCTTCCCACAGCGGCGGCCCGTGTTCGATCCCGGGTCTGGTCAAGTGGGATTTGTGGTGGACAAAGTGGCGCTGGGGCGGGTTTTCTCCGAGTACTTCGGTTTCCCATAGCAATAACGTGAGTGAGCCATGAGTGAGACCTGTTACCACGTTTCGCTGCTAGCGTGTTTACTCGCAAGAGGATGAGAGAATCCTGCTGATTCGGTATTATGTGTTCTTACACGGGATGCGTTGCTTCTGATGTTTTCACAGAATTGATAATTTTACTCTTCGAAATCTTGAATTCGCCGAACAGGGTGACCCCGCCGCCTAAGGTGCATACAGTCTTCGTTCGCTCGAAAAGTAGGGGTTCATGCATTTGAATGCCAACATATAAACTGTAAAACAACATAACAGAATCTTCCGCAAAACAAAACTCAAGCACTGAATCTCAACAAAAAAATTGACTACCTGTATATAGAGCTACAAAAAAGTGAGGAAAGTCACAGGACTCTTCTAAGATGCAACAATTAAAAGAGCTTTCCGCACATAAAAACAACAAACTCCGTGGCCTGTAGTACGCAAGTGAACTATACCCACCGAGCGACCGTCGCTTGTCGGCGAAGTTAATGCTCACTTTTGCAGATAGAGCGTGTCACGTGGTCAGCGCAACGGATCCCCACGGCCGTTAACCTCATTTTTCTAGACCGGAGCCGCCATTTCCTTGAAATAGCTCCTCAATTATCCTCACGAGGCTGAGTGGACCCCGTTCCAGACCCACTACTTCTCAGAAAATCTGGTAACGCCGGGAATCGAACCCCGGGACCTCTGAATCTGTAGGCAGGAACTCTGACCACTAGACCACAGAGAAAATATTTTGTTCAATAGCTGTTCCACCACTCTGGGCCCCAGACGGTAGGACTCTTTGGACGAATGATCAGCACGTCGCAAGGCCACTGTCTCTACGCAGGAGAACACAAACACAGAATAAACGCATACACACACTAATCATCCATGCCCTGAGTGGGATTCAAACCCCCCCGATCCCAGCATCCGAGCGCGCGAACACAGTTCGTGCCTTAGACGGCACGGCTACTGTGATCGGCACGTAGAACAATATATAAACATATAAAACCTTACTCACTAACAAATAAATTTAAGGGACGAGCAATTTATCAAAGGACATGCTTGGACTGCCTGTTAAAATGATAGAACACACAGGGAGAACATTCAGCACCAGATACGAAGAACATAGATAAGTTATGACAATTAAAAAAAAGCAATTCCGAATGCTGGAACCACTTATTAAATACAGGGAACACATAGAGCAGGTAGCCAGCACCATGGACGCTGTAAGGACAGGAGAGAAAGGAAATTATGTAAATAATTTAGAGAAATTCCATATTTATTTCCTTTGCAAAAGACAACCTTAACACGAACGAATACAATATAATACTCGAGGCCTTGTGCAGACTTTATACCAGATAACAGCATATAATCTCCCCCCCCCCTTATTTACAAGAGACCGCATCCGTGGGGTGTTGGTAGTAGTACACACATACAGGCACAGTGACCATCACAGCACGTGTAAATACAAGTAAGTACTCGTATATACAAAATTGTACTGTAAGCACTAAACAAAATGAAACCTGAAACATAGATAACTTATGCTTGGCACATGCAGGTAACCAAGTCACCTTCCACGAAATACACAAGGAAGAGAAACAGCAGGACACACAACACGTCGATATGAATTATTTTCAAATTATTATAAATGTTAGACTATTCTAACATGAATTATATGTACATGTTTCACGGACTATAGCAGTATTATAGTGCAGTGTAGCAATTTATATAGATCACCATATATACTTGATGACTCAGGTGGCCGAAACATTTAGTGAATTTGCATGGAAATATAGACTAAGTGGTGATCTGAAGATTGTGTTGCATATACACAATTTTAATAAATTAATTAATAATTTGAGAAGTGAAATATGTCGAAGGACAGAATGAGAGATCTCCAACGATTTATTGCAGGATCACGTCTTTACTGTAGTCACGGGCGCTAATGTTTAAAATCGGTTTTAAAATTGATTTAGTCCGGAGAAATATCATTTATACGTGTGCCTCTGAAATTGAGTTAGAAGTTTCTCTTGTTGCCGGAGAGTGTTGAAGATTGGGACTGAAAGAAAACAAGTGAACGTTGTCAGTGTTTACGTGTTATCTGCCGCATGCGTCCTGAGAGCGACGGCGCGCTATAAGGACGCCTTGCGCCGCCGAGCAAAGTGAAACTCATTTCCAGTCAGTTGTGGTTCGGGCGCGGAACGGGTTAGTTGGAGAGGCTAGACGTCATTTCGTCTCGCCAGAAACTTTCGACGCTTTCGACTGAAGTTCTCTATATCGCCCCCACCCCCTTTATGGTTTCATCGAGAAGGGACAACTCGTATATATAGCAGAAGCCTTATGTACAGTAAACAGGTGAACTGGAGATGTTTTACATGTGTACTTGAAATTGAAGAGGAATGGAAGTTCAAAAATGTTGGAGTTTGTTTTCAAATGAGTAATTAAAAGTCATTAAAGAAGGAGAGGAAGGGAACTTGTTAAAATTGTAAGTGAAACTTTAAACTTTTGGAAAAGTATAATTGTGATATAAAAGAATGTCAAATCATCTTATGTACTTTATAAAATCTTCTAGGAATAGCGTTACAGCCTTCGATTATTGGTTTATATTGACGTTTCTTCTGCTAACAGATTAGAAGCTGGCGGATGATGCGATAATTGTGAATTATTAATAAGAAATCGAGTGAAGTTCTGCAGTCGGGGTATATTTGAATTTATTATCCGAGCATTTGCTGTAGGGTCTAAGGGAAGCAATAAAATATTATATTAAGGGTAGCCACTGTCGGAGCAAAAGTTCGAAGCAAGGATAATATTATACTGTAACATCCCGCTGCACTTTTCACTTTTCTTTTTAATGCTAGTGGGGTGGGACTAAGTCCCTTATACTGCGCCCACTTCTGGCTTATTGTACCAGCCCCAGATGATAGGTGAGGGTGATTGTGGAGCAGTTGGTGGAATGAAGATTGGCAGGGTAAACCGAAGTACTCGGAGAAAACATGCCCCAGCGCCACTTTGTCTACCACAAATCCACACTTGACCAGACCCGGGATCGAACCCGGGCCGCCGCGGTGGGAAGCCAGCGACTAACCTCTTGAACTATGGCGAGGCCTTAGCACTTTTCACTTAGTATCAATCAGTTCCAGTCTCACGTGCAACACTGATGTTCTATAAAACTTATTGAAGTGAATAGCTTTTAATAAGTTTTATAGAACGTGAGGCTGTGGAATTAATTGATAGTAATCGAAGCGAGAACGCTAACCACAAGACGATTCGTGTATACCACAATTTTAAATGGTAGAAGTTGCGGACGTAACATAAGAACTTGCTGCCGTTTTTAGGGTCTAGGTAACATTTTTGATTGGTAAATTTCAAAGTGGTAATTCCTTTACAAATTCAGCACATGTATCTATTACATACGATGCTATATCGAGAAGACCACTGCGTTTAAATTGAATTTATTTATCCTTGACTTGATGCTGAATAACGAATTCGGTGGGAAGTGGCCGTGGCTTATGTTAAGGTACTTCCCAAATTATCCCGGAAGAACAAAATAACTAATTCGGGATAACCGATCTACGATTTTAAATTATAACTAGGGAACTCACTTAATGAAATGAAAGTCCTAACCAGTAAACTGCAATGCTGGGCAAAAATACTTAAACGTGTAACTTTTATGATTATATTACAAGAAATAAATGTTGGTAAGAAACGATTTTGGCTTTTTCGCAACGGGGATTCGGAAAGAAAAACTTCCCCATTAGCTTCGCCATAATACAACTCCCTCATTGTTTATCCGTCCATATGTTGCAACTCGAAAAAGCTGAATGGATTGTCATAATATATCATATTTTGGAGTCTATACCCTTTCAAACTCGGTTAATGTGGGATAACTGAAGAGGACGCCGGTCACGGTAGCCGAGCGGTCTAAGGCATGTACTGTCTTCGCTCTCTTGGAAACCGGGATCGTGGGTTCGAATCCCACTCAGGGCATGGATGTTTAGTTTGTGTGTGTGCGTTTTTCTGTGTTTATGTACAGGTAGAGGCCTTGCGACGAGCTGATCACCCGCCCAAGGAGTCCTACCGAATGTGTAAGATCTAGAAAAACCGAAGTGAACGGAGAAGTTCATGGAGGTAGGCCTAGGCCAACTGGGGCTGTAGTGCCAAGAGGGGGGGGGGAAACTGAAGAGGACACTTCACATGGACATATGTTTTCTTTGCCCACGTCCATAATACCATGCACATAATTCTAAACATTTATTGGAACGGAAACTGTTAGGAAGAGAAGTTATGAACAAGAATGAAACACACTTTATCCTTAACACATTTCTCCGTGAATATTTTTCTCCATAATTCAAGGAAACTTAGTGTAAGTACCAGAAGTGTTGTTTATGCGTATATTTCCTAGCTTATAAATGCAATATATTATTACTATTACTTTCAGATTGTTAGCACATTCTTGAAGCGAACCTAAATGATACCTACTTTGTTACAAAAACCACGTAACAATATAAGGCACAAGAATATGTTAATAGAAAAGAATTTGGAATTCGAGGCTAAATATAAAGACGGCAGGGGGTACTATGGACATGAAATTTAATCGTGAAGTTATGTAATTTCTCAACCTTTCGAAAATGTAACGGAAAGTGTTTATTTGTTATATACGCTACGTGTTTATAATTACGGATACAATAGATTTTAAGTAGGACATTAAGTTTCAGACAAAACAGAAACAAACTCCGAGATTCCATTCCGCAAGCGAACTATACCGACCGAGCGACCGCCGCTCGTCGGCGATATTTAGTGCCAACTTTTACGGATAGAGGGTGTCAAGTGGTCAGCGCAACGAATCCCAACGGCCGTTAATTTCGGTTTTCTAGACCGGTTAAGTTTCAAACACCAAAGTAAATATGAGACCTCAATTCACGTAAGGCAACAATGGCATTCCTGTCGTGTTACGGAGAGGAAAGTTGAGTCACAGTGTGATCAAAATGATTAAGTGCATCGCAAAAATTCTTCTCATTAGGAGACTCGAATTGAAACTGTGTATATCTCTGAGAACAATATGTCTTATTCGGAGTTACATCACTGCACATACATCTAAAGTTGTAGGATTTGAGTTTCTCACAACGGTGGTGCCTTACTCTGCTTATTCGACCCTCAGGATAAAAGTAATATGTTCCTCCGAAACGTCGATTGTACCTACACGGCGTTATATCCCAGAAGATAGTACTCTTCGCATCTAAAGTTGTTTCTACTGCTCCAGAGAAGTAACGTTTAGTGACTTAAGCCTTTTTTCCGTAACTTCACAAATTTTCTCGCTTTTTCTGGTGGACCTTCCGGGAAAACAGAAGGCATACATACACTGGCTCCTATAGGTAATTCATAGGTACACCGCAAACGTAATTCAGTATGGACTAAAGGACCGTAGTATGCAATCGTGTTATTATGGTAATCTGGGGGGAGGTGCAATTAGGCGACTGCCATATATTTCACGATCCTACCTAACCACTAAAGAATTTTACTATTACAAAGTCATTAATTTCGGTTTTATAGTCCGGAGCCGCTATTTCCTTGAAATAGCGCCCCAATTATCCTCACGAGGTTGAGTGGACCCCGTTCTAGACCCTCTACTTCTCAGAAAATCCGGCAGAGTCGGTAATCGATCCCGGGACCTCTGGGTCTATAGTCAGGAACTCTGCCCACTAGTCCACAGAGGCGCTCCATTATTGGACGCTCTCATATCTTTATGCCTTTGCTAATTTATATTTTTACCCTCAGTGTATCTAGTTCAATACTCTAATCCTTGTGGAAAAAGGTTCTTCCAATTTGAAAGAAAGGTTAGCAATTACAGATATATCTCTTTGCTCAACATTTTTTTCCAAAGTTTTTTAATTTATCATCCGTCATCAGGTATATTATTTCGTAAAATATAAGCTTAATGCTTCTCAGCATGGTTTCCATAAACTTAGACCCACTTAGACAACTTTGGTTATCTAGTTTAACTAAATCCTTTACTCTCAGCACTCAAGGTTAAACTGACTACATTTTCTTCGATTTAAAAATGCTTTTGACCTAGTCCTCTATTTTTTGCTTCTTTGTAAACATAGCAATTGGTTTCATAGTTATTTGACTAGTAGATGCTGCTCGGTTCGTGTCTGCTCTTCCCTTCCTTCTCTTACAATGAAGTCATTTGTTCCACAGGTACCCATTGCACAGTCTTTGCTATTTAGTATTTTTAACCTACTTTCTTTATTTAAAAAAAATAAAAGTATGCTTATGAGATCTGTGTGTGTGAATTCCCCCATATCAACTCTGGAATTCATGGCATCTGAGCCCGTCTGAACTGCTTGCATCGACTGTACGTGTATTCCGCTAATGTTGTTAGGCAACGGCTCGGTAAAAACGTTACCGTTACAACTAATACACATGCGACAGTAGAAGAATCGTTGGGCACATTTTTCTACGCCGTCCTTGTCATATCAAAGGAAACTAGGCGATTAGTTAATCCCAGAACTTTTTGTTGTTAACGTTATTTGGGCGGGGAACGCGGTAGTTTAGTTGGTTGAGGCACTATGCTACAAACAGGAAAGTAGCGGGTTCGAGTCCCGATGAGGTGGATATTTTCAATTTACCTAATCCTTCCAGCCGCATTATGGCCCTGGGGTCGACTGAGCCTCTAACAGAAATGGGTACCAGGAATCTTCCTTGGGGTAAAGGGCGGCCGGCGCGTAAGGCTGACAACCTTACCGCCATCTGTGAGCCGATTTTCTAGATAATGTGGGAGCCTCAAGGTCTCACAACCCTATGGGCCTTCACGGCCTGTTAGAGGGATAACTTTACCCTTTTTAACGATATTTGCGCTTCCATTGACAAAACCACCCATCTATTTTTTGCGGATGATCTAACGGTGTACCTTAACATCACGGAAGTTGAGGACTGTAAGCTTTTACGGTGTGATACAGACAGTGTTCACACTCGATGTTCAGAAAATGGCAGGAAAATAAATTTTGTTAAAACTATAATTATTTGTTTTACTCGTAAACTGGCAGTAAGAGCAACAGTAACTATAAGTCACGCAATAAATTAGCAACCCTCTGTCGCTGTGTTAAAGATCTTGGAAGTTCTCTAGAATGTAAGCTTCACTTTCACAGTCAAGTTGGCCTAGATCACTTCTTTACGATACTTGAAAATGTTAGGTTTGATTCATTATAGCAATCATATATTTTCCTTTTCTACTGCTAGTACTCTCATGTTTGTTAATGACGCTTTAGTCCGATCTAAACTTAAGTGTGCTTCTGTCTCACTGCCTTATTCACTTAAACTTGAGAGAACTGAGCCCAATAACACGGCAGGTTTCTCATTGGCACTTGCGATTACGGATGTCATGTTAGTTACATAGAATGTTTCAACACTCAAGTCTGGGCATTTCCTTGGTGCTTTATTTCTATTCAGTGTCTTTGAAAACAAACTTATTTTCTAATCCATTTA